ATATATATTTAAATTTTTATATTATTTAGATAATTTTTTATTAAATTATGAATAAATAAAGAATTTCAAAAAGTTTTGTTACACACTGTACATTGTAAATATTATTATAATATATAATAATAATCTAGTTTAAATAAAAATAATATAATTATATTATTTTTAATTTTATTTTTACAATTTTTTTAAAAAATAGAAGATATAAATACTTATTTTATTAAAAAAACAAAATACTTGATTTTTAATAAAGAAACATAGAAAAAAAAGAAATAAGAGAAATTGAAAATATTAATCAAAATAATAATAATAAATTGGGTTAGAAAATTGATAAGATTAAATGATACAGAATATTACATTTAGTTGTTCCTTTTTTATACACTAGCACATCGAATGGCGTCACTCTTCCACAATTGGGCGTCGGCCAATACGAACGGACCAAATGACGTGTAGAATCTTATCTCAGATAAACTTAATTAAAACATGCAAGCATACGTAAATCATACGATGTTTTCACATGAATTTCATCAGTCTAATGGAACCAAGTAAATTAATTTTTTTAGCATGGACTGAGTGAATTTCAGGCTCAGGTTATTTTCATTTCGAAAAAAACATAAAAAATGGCGGGATTGAATGGCTCTTTCGCTGACCTTATAAAAGACATCGCCTGTCTGCTGGCTACAGGCTATAATTACGATGTGATTGTGAGATGTGGTCGTGCTCCCGGCAAAATAGCAGATTTTGAAGCACATTCAGCTATATTGGGAGTTCGTTCCTCTTATTTCCGTACGGCTTTCTCGTTGAACTATGCATCGAAGAAGAACGGGGTGTTCTTTCTTCGCAAAGAGAATATTGAACCCAATATTTTTGCGGCGTTAATGAAGTATGAATATTATATTTTTTTCATAATATTGCAAATAGTAACTTACCATTCCTTATAATATTATGCAACAAAGATACTTGTACACCTCGATGGTAAAACTCGACGTATTCTCCCTCCCCGAACTCATAAAATTCTTAGTCGCCTGTGATGAATTAGATCTTTCCTCGGTCATTGATCAAATTCAGTCATACGCAATCGAAAATCACTCGAAATGGCTCCAGCAAAACCCTCTCGACTACCTCGTCAAACTCGAACGTTGCACAAAATGCACCACTCTGAAAACATATCTTATTAATCAACTTGATCAAACGTTATTCAGTTCCTCGGACTTCATTTTATTAAGTAAGGAAACATTGAAGGAATTGCTTCAGAAGCAACACGAAGGAATAGGGGAAATTGAAATTTGGAATAGATTGTTGGAATGGAGCGTCAATCAGGCCAATTCCTTTTCATTCGACCCTTCCCTGCTATCCTCCTTGTCTCCTGATGCATGTTCTTTGTACTCGTTGTATTATGATTCCAGGAAGCGTAGGGAGTTAACGCTGGACGAATTTGAAAGGTGGAGTGAGCAAGACTGTGAGCTAGTGAAACATCACATTTCTGGAATAATTAGTTTTATCCGATGGCAAGAAATCTCGTTTAAAGATTTTGAGACGCGTATCTCGCCATATAAAAAACTTATTCCATCATCACTATATGCGGAACTTCTATCCGTTTACATCCCTCCATCTAGCCCTGAATCAGAATCTCCATCCGATTCTGCATTCCAAACTTCTGAACAACATCCCTTCATTACCACTCTCAGTTCAAATTTAATAGTTCCTCCCAATTTTCCTATCCGTCAATATTTTGACACAACCCTTCTCACGGTTTCACACTTTAATACAATCTCTGCGTGGATCGCCAGAAAAGACTCGGATTATTACACAAAACGACTGTTACCTTATAAATTTAATTTATTGTATAGAGCGAGCAAGGATGGGTTTGATCCCAAAATGTTTCATGAACGATGTGACAACCGAGGGCCTACAGTGATGGTGACCAAGTTGTATTTAGGAGGAAAGATTATCGGTGGGTATAATCCCTTGGATTGGAAACCCCGAGAACAGCAGGTAGTAGAGAATGATGTGGGGCCAGAAACATCTGAATTTGAAATTGCCACAAACATCACCTCGCCTATTACTACATCAAAAAGATACTCATGGATGGCAACCTATGATTCATTTTTGTTCTCTTTCCAGCACTTAATGCCAAACACCGGTATCATCTCGCGCGTGACGAAACCCTTATATCACAAAGCCGTGTGTTATGACCCCCAAAGTGGACCGGGATTTGGGGCAGGATTGGACATAGTAGTATCTAATAGGTACAAGACTATAAGTACCTGGGGATACTCGACATATCCAGAGGCTCAATGGTTTCTGTCCGAACAGCATATGGAGGTGGAAGATTATGAGGTGTTTTCAGTAGAAAGGGACGAGAGCGTTGAGCTTTATGATGAGAAAGAAAATGAGGAATGTGAAACTTCGTTGAAAATGGAGGAAATCTTTGGGCTTTGTGGTGTCACGAGAAAGGAAGAAGGCTTTGGGCTTTGCGGTGTGAAACAGGTGACGAGTGTTGAGAAAATAGAGGTAAAACAAGAAAGTCAGGACGAGGATGGTAAGATGGGAGGGGAAATAATGGATGAAAAAGATGCGGATGGTGATTTGAGAAAAGAAGTGGATGAGAATGTAAAAGGAACAGAGGAAGAAAGAAAAGAATTGGATGATAATGCAAGGGAAAAAGAGGAAGGAAGAAAAGAAGTGGATGAGTATGTCAGGGAAAAAGAGGAAGGAAGAAAAGAAGTGGATGAGTATGTAAAGGAAAAAGAGCAAGGAAGAAAAGAAGTGGATAAGTAAGGGTGAGAGGAAGAAGTGAAGATGAGAAGGCGGAGCTAATGGCGGGAATAGGTAGTAATAGTGTGAAATTGGAATGTGATTAGGCGTTTCGAATATCCTTTGAGCTATACTCACTGATGATACATTCTTCATGGATTAATTTCATCGGAGATAGAATCAGTTTCATTGATTCTTTGTTTACATAGATCAAATTTAAAAAGAATGTCCCCACGTGGAATATATATTTTTTTTATTTACACCAATAAACAAACTCCCTTAGACAGAAAAAAATAAATTTACAGATACCATAAATTTTAAAATTGAACGTGCAAAAATAATGTTTAAAAAATTGATGGATCCATTTGCAGATGATGTTTCTTAACGTTTCGTGTTTGACAATCTTATAAATTATTTATAGATTCATCCACATAGACTTAAAATACCATACCGAATTTATTATTTATATAAGAACTCTTGGGCATATAACAATTGCTGTTTTTTTTTTTTACAATCCAAGTCAAAACAATGCAATTATAATGACAATGGATATTAACTCACAGTTTTTGCATCGCGACATATATTGCTACCTAATAATTCGGTAAAGATTGGTTCTTTTGTTTATTAAATTAGCATTAAAACAATCAACAGTGAGAACATAAAGTCAGATACTTGTAAACTATAAAACAGGAGAAAGGTTAAAATACTGTTCCATCGGATTTAATGGCAATTGGTGGTCCACAAGTGATTGGACGTAGAGACGCGGCAATTTCGCGACCAGCCTAAATTGTCCAAAAAAAATTATTCAATAATGATAAACAAAAAACATCTCAATCCTTACATTTAACCAAGATGTCACAATATACCTTCCAGGTTCCAGCCTCAAGTACTTGTGCCAAGGAAAATTGCTCTTTCGATAATCCAAGCGCGTTTCTAACCTTATCTGCAACCACGTCCAACAAAATAACCGTAACGGCACGCCACTCAACAACTAACGGATCATGTACCTCAAACATTGGTACAATCTCTGCTCCCGACTTAACAGTGGCATTTCGTTTGTAATACTCTATGCCACGTTCAAAATCAGATTCTTTCACGGCCAATACACCGGTATCGACAAATAGACCTCCTATTACGATAACAAGATGCTGTCATTATTATTGAAGTCAATCTCTTCTCATCAAGAATAGTCCACAAACCATTTCGGTACTCAGGTAAGCCGGTCATCTGTTCAACTCCTTCGAAAGAAATTCCTGAAATTTTAGTCATTGGCTCCATTAGCGAATAAGTGAGCCATTGAGAAAGTTTATGAAATGCTACTAAATGATCAGTAGAATCAGGGTTGTCTTCAGGAGACCGGAGTACTTCACATGGCCAAACATCTCCAAGTGACACGCCATTCAGTGAGGTTCTAGTCGATGGCCAAACTTCGGAAAGTCCATAAATCACAATCGTCCACAGTGTATCGATTTTTACAGAAGTGTCGGTTTCGTTGATGGTGGAATTCAACAACAGGTAATCTATATAATGACAGAATAATTGATATTGCTTATAAGAGTGAACTAGATGTAAAGGAAAAAAATTTTTTTTTTAATTACCTAAGAGGTTACCAGGTCTCGAGGGCTAATGAACTGTTTGTAAGTATCAATTTTAATTAAACTCTGATTGATTACCAGCGACCTTGTTACCCACCGAATTGTCATTACTTTTAAAAAATTCTGGATGACTTTTCAGGGCATAACCCAGGCGACCAAGCAACTCGGCGCGCCCCTCCAAACCTTCCAAAGGGTTATTCTCGTCGACCTGAAATGCCAAACGTATATCTTCTACGCGAATGTTTATGAGTTTTTCCGCTGATAATTGCGTGCGCGTGTATAAGTTATTTTAATCAAGAACATGCAGGCAATTATGGGCAGAGGACGTACCATCAACTTGATGCGGTTGAGAGCTTGAAGCCGACAATGCGCCCGACTTGAACATATCTAACGAAGCTATAGCCAATCCTTCAGATCTACTGTAAATATTACCGGTCTCTGGTTCCTTATAAGTCCATACATTTCCTGCACCGGCATCTAATAGAACCGAAATTACGAACAGGTCCAGAAGTCGACGCGTTATCTCCAATGTATCGCAACCCACTTTCCATCTTTCTATAAGCGCCTGAATTCGTGCACACCCTCCGACATCAAAGTGGCGCCAACGACCGTGCGGCGGGATGTCACTAATTTGTTTATAGTCACGCTTAATTAGCGAGATTACTTTGGAAACCACTACTTCAAGTTTTGAAAAATCTACTTTGAAGTGATTAAGTGCATTTGCCTCAGCTTTTTCATAAACTTTTTTTGCGCGTTCACGAACTGCTTTAAGGCTCTTGAGATATTTTATTTGTTCTTGCACGGTGTTTTCGGAAGACATAATTGCACTACAAAAGAGAACATCGATTAAGCTGCTTATAGTCGATCGACCTATGTTACATGTGCGATCAATGTAATCAGGCCAATAAGAATTGCTCTATTAATTAATCATTTTAAATCTAGGATTATCGTTATACGACCATTTTCATATACAAAATCAATCGATGACAAAAAGCATATTTTTTATAAAGAAAAGTTTGAAATTTGCATGATTAATTGATGGATTTTTGGTTTTCCAAACATTTTTTTTTAATATTTGCGCATAGCTAATAATAATTGGTGATGATATAGTATAAAAATGCTATCGAATCGATTAAGTTATAAACCCGAATATAGAAACGAGATTTAAATGAATGATGCTTAAATAAGAATTGATCGATTGATAAAAAATTTCTTTTTTGCTAACTTGTAAAGATATCGAATTGCGACTAATTTTAATAAAGCATACGTTACTACTTGTAGCAAACGAATATATTTATTATATTATGGTACTTCCCTTTAACTGTTATTTTAAAAACGCAAACTGATTTTTTTTTTCTTTACCATATAGCGTAAAAATATTTTCGATTTATGTTCAATTCGTTTTTTTTTTACGTGAGTACGAGTGCGTGCGTGCGTGCGTGCGCTGTGTACAGTACAGTACAATGCACACACACGCACGTACTCTAGGTCAATAAAGTCGAATGACAATTTAGTTACGGGAATAATTATCCGATAATCTGAAATGAGATTGGAACCGAAAAAAAAAAAAAAAAAAAATTCATTTCTTCATTTGCAGGAAGACCCACAATACATTGTACCACATCTACATTTTCCCAGGACAAATGGAGCTTAACAACTTATTTCACATATGCAAATGAGAGTCCGCTTTATTTTGGAAGTAATGCATTACGTACACAAAGATTCATCTTTTATTACATGAAAATACGTAGTGATTCCGTATTTTGGCGTTAACACTTTTATCGTTAAACGTTGATATCCTAAAACCGGAACTATTTGCGGAAATCTCGTATCAAATATAAAATGTTTGTTGTTGATACTTTTAAGCAGCTCCCGCGCTTAATTTCAATCAGAAACCCGTCAAAAACCAGAGTATCATTTTTTTTTTTTTTTTTTAATGACGTACTAGACTCACTCTTGGATAGCTCGCTTAAAGTTCATAACAATGAAATTTCGTACCTATCCAAATTTTTTCACCGTCACCTACATTTACCGACCGAACCCAATCACATTTGCGGTTTGGATTCTCGCGAACGAGGATTATTATGGATTCCCGCAAAGGTTGAGCGTTCAACTTTGGTCTAACTTGACGTCTCCGGAATGGTCGCATACGGATTTAATTGAATTGGAGAGTAATCAACTTATCGGTGGCGGCTCCGGCGAAAAGTATCGTGTTTTCGAGGTAGCGATCTCAACCGATCATATCAATCATGGGCAATACGAATTTTGCTTTAGGGTCAAGAGGATAATGGAAACGTATGAAGAAGGTTGGCATTGGATCAATATCGGTGAAAATAAGAATGGCAAGGTGCACGTGTTCGACTTCCGAGAAAAGAGAACCAAGGATAAAGTTTATGAAATCGAGTCCATCTTTGGCAAAAACGTTATTAGCGAAAATGTTAGGTATAGTTCTCATGGCGATGTTAGTTGTTGGGTTGTTAACAAAGAGGCAAAGTCTAATGGTGAACAAACGGTAACTTATAATATGGGCGGCATCATAAATATGATTCGATACGTCGGGTTGCAACGTGAATCGTAAGTGTTTTATACACTCTCGTCAGGTCAATTATTTCATTCCGATTTCCCATCTTCACGGCATTCATCCGTTTCAAATCCGAATCATTATTCTGTCTCAAGGGCATATTGGATCTTGCCGACTACAGGAACTTGTAAACTCGATATCGATCGCAAAGATATCTTGTACCTGATCGTTCAACAGTCGACGGGTCACTATGTAGTATTCATTCCACTGACGGCCGAAGATTGTAGTAGCTGTTTTCGATCGGATGAAGATGGAAATTTGATTTATGCTGTCGATAATTATAGCGGAAAGGACGGATTGGCCAGGTTTATTGTGGGACGCGGATATGATCCTTATGCGACTTCAAAGGCATGCATCTATTTGGCGAAAACCGTCTATGGACGTACCCGTGAATCCAGGAAAAGCGTTCGTAAGAAAAAGGACAATATGCAATACTACGAGAAGCTTGGATATTGCACTTGGAATGCGTAAGAGAGATCGCTTTCCCATATTTTTCATTTCATTATATTGGCTATGCATAATTTCCGTTGCGATTTTTTTAGATTCCAAGAAAACGTGCGACAACAAGATGTCGCGGACGTATTGCATTCATTGGACTCGTCGGGGATACATGTTGGATATGTAATAATGGATGACGGATGGCAACAAGTTAGTCATAACCGTCAATTGCAAAGTTTCGAGGTCAACGAAAAATTTCCCGACGGATTAAAATTTTTTATCCAAGGAGTCAAAGAAAAATATCCATACTTGGAGCATTTCGGGGTTTGGTAGGTTTTGCGACAAATTAGATTGACTTTTTCGCCTATTGATTTACCTTCCTCTTTATTTTAGGCATACCTTGTGGGGATACTGGAATGGGATCGACCCAACGTCAGAGTTGGCAGAACAATATCATCTCAAGCAAGTCAGGGGAGAAGGAAGAACCATACATCTTATTACTCCCGAATCGGTCACCAACTTTTACAATGACTTCTACAGATTCTTAAGGTCTCAGGGAGTGGAAATCGTGAAAGTTGATTCTCAAGCGAGTTTTGATTTGGTCGAGTTTGACAAAGTTGAGCTTCATCAGTGGTGTAAGAAATATCAGGAGTCCCTGTGTGAATCCATTGAAAGATACTTTGACGGTAGGGTCATTTATAGTATGGCTCATAGCCCCAGCATCGTTCAACCGATCATTTTGAACGATGGCCTGTTGAGCGAGAAGATAACGAACAGGCCTCTTTTTAGGTAGGCGAGCGGGAACCTTCCAATTTACACACAGCAATTAATTATTCTTCTCGTGACTAACCTGCGTGGCGGCAATTCACAGGAATAGCGACGATTGTCATTCGCAGCATCATGAATCCCTGCGTCACATCTATGTGAATTCCATGAACAATATTTGGACAAGTCTATTCAGCATTCCAGATTGGTGGGTACAATAGGACTTATCAGTCTCGTGTATCTTGGTTTCTTTGCTGTTCATGACGGTGCATGATGTGTTTCATCTTTTAAAAGGGACATGTTTCAAACGAATCACGAATATTCCGAGTGCCACGCGGCGGCAAGGGCGATCAGCGGGGGGCCCATTTATATTGCGGATCTGCCGCATCAGCATGACACAATCATCCTGGGAAGATGCATAGTTAAAACGCCCGCTTTTAGAATAAGGCATGCGGCCGATGGTAAAACAAAAGTTTTTATGCAACGAATTTTACGGAGTGAAAGATCTGCCTTGCCGTCCATCCGAGACTTGTTCGAAGATCCCACAAACACCGACAAACTTTTGAAAGTTGGTAATGTCAATGACCGAATGGGAGTCCTTGGATTATGGAATTGCCGGCAAGATGAGATAATCGACAGGTTCGACTTGGAAGACGTTTATGGAATTGCTGCCAACCCCAATGACTGGAAAGCCAACGGCACAAGAGTCAATGGACCGGTGCATCACGATTTGAGATTTCTAAGGGACGACGATGATACTGATGGTACTGTGGAAGACATCGACTATGCTCTTTACTTTTTCAAAAACAGACAAGTAAGAAATATTGGAAGCATGAGGTCGAAAAAATCAATGGCCGTAATGCTAAAACCTCTCGATTTTGAAATTGTCACGATTTCTCCGATTGACGTTTTGCTGGTCACGTTACCTTTCGGTGATGAAATTAGCGTAGGAGTTGCGTGCTTTGGGTTGATTGACAAGTATAACGGGTCGAGAGCTGTGATCTCTGCGGGGTACATTAGTGAAGGGTGGGATGAAGGAAATAAATATCCCACGGATTCAAATAATACACGTGATGACATGGGAGGTACGAGAAGAAGTGGGAACAGGAGAGGGATGGTGTTTTACGAGACGAAATTAATTGGATACGGCGATTGTGGTTTTTACTTGAATCCGGGAAAATACAGGAGTGTTCGTGATATCAAGGTTTATCTGAACAATGTGACCTTGAGTGATACGTTCGTCAGGTACGATTCCGAGATGCAGTTTCTTGTGGTCAATTTGCGTGAGAACGAAGAGTTGACGATGGAAGAGGAAAGGGGTGGAAAGAGGAGTGATTATGGGGATGAAGATGTGTTGGAGGTGATTTTGGAGATTAAAGTTGACTAGATAGATGATGATTCTAATCTGATCATGAATTCGTTTGCGATAATCAATGAATTTCAATGCCTTCATTTCTAAATTTTTCAGCAAATGAAATGTATTTGGTTTGTTCGAACTTGCGCTTCGAGAAATCGCCTTGGGCTAAAGTTTTATATGCGAATGGAAATTACAAAAATCGAAATGGATCGTATTTCATGATAATTTGTCATCAATAATAATTATTCATGTTAATCCGTTAAAAACCTTCATCCAAATAAAAAAATTATTCTTTAAATTGTTTTAAATAAAATATTTCGAAGATGAATGGCCATATGTTTTATTTGGCATGGTTGAACGTTGAAAAGTTCTACTTTAAATGATTTGATCATTCAAAAATTACTATTTATTCGTCGACTCATTAAATGTTTCAAGCTTTGCGAATAAGCAAATCATAAAAACGAGCATCCGACATTACACATGTTGTTTTTGGTGATAAAAACAAACAGTATTTAAAAATTTGATTAACTTCATTCTAAAGTACATTTTAAAGATTTTATTTCAAGTATCCATACAAGAGACATTCAAGAGACATTCATACTCGAGAAAAAAAGAATTGGGCTTCATCATATATAATAATGAACCGAATCCTAGGAATTTCAAGTGCCGTTATCGTCACAATGTTTAAGATTTACTTTTGTTTTTTGGCTACTCTACATCTCGCCACCATCTCCACCATCATTCTTATTAGATGTCCTCTTTTTCTCGGGTTCCTCGTCTTCAAATGTTTTTCTTTTTGCCGTAAATTCAACATCACTTTCCTCAGCTTTATCATGTTCACCATTTACTACCCGCAAATCGATAAATCTCGCCTGCATGTTCATTCCCTTCGACCGATGGTCCTCTTGATTCCCATCCGAAGAAGTCTCACCCTCTGAAACCTCGGTAATACTATCTCTCGCAATTTTTTTCGCCAATTCCCGGGATTGTCGTTTCTTTCGTTGGTTTGCTAGATTGAAAATTATTATCCTGTTATTCAACGCAGCAGCATCCGCTCCTTCCAGTGCACTGACCGAATGAAAAGAAGCGAACGAGGTTCGCTTATCATCTTCGAACGTTATGTGTCTTAAAGATTGCCTTCTGCTATTGGCAAATGTATCGGAAGTTTGGAAGATTCCCAATGAATTTCTCGTGGGGATCGACGGTGGCAAATTGGACAGAACTCCTCCCGACTCGTAGGAGGAAGATGCGGTGCCTCCTGTTGTGGGAGCCGTGTACTTTTGGGAAGTCGATGAGTCGCTTGAACTCGGTCTATTCGTAGTATGGGTTGCCATACCTTCTGATCTCGAGGACGATGCTTTGTTGGTGGAATGTGTTCTAATGTTAACGCCGCTTCTCTTCGAATTGCTATTCATCCTTCCAAACTTTTCACCTTGCTCAATCGAAGCCGATGGTGTAAGGTTTCTGAAGGGAAGCGACGTAGTTGAACGCGATATACGGCCGTTTAGTAAATCCCAAACCTCGATGAAGGTTGATTTTTTTGCAGCAAGTATGATGAAGATTAATATGCCGAGAAAGCGATTGAAGAAGAGCACGGTGATGACCCAACCGAGTGATGGGACAATTGTTGGAGAGCAAGAGGTTTGGGAACCGCCGTTCAGTAGACACTGAACCCATTGGACGAACAACGAAGAACTCAGTTCAACGTTGTAGACGATGATATAAAAAACCTTTTTCCGCAAAATAACAACAATGCTAATGTTAGAATAATTGTGGCGATAAAAGTATTATTATTATTATTATTTTATTTATTTATTTATTTATTTATTTTTACTCACCCAATTGACCAGATAAACCACCAACATCAAAATTGCACCCAACATTGCACGCCACTGGAGAGTGAACACCGTTTTTACATGGCTAAACGTGCGCTGAGCTTCCACGAATGAGATACGTTTGTTGACCACCGAGCCCGATGAGAATCTCCAGTTGGCTTTAATGGACACCTAATATGATGGGAAGTAAATTACGCGTTTTTCAACAATCAACACCACAAACCTTAATCGCGCACTCTCACCTTAGTCATATAGACAAAGGTCATCAGGTGAGCAAGGAACGCGACATAAATAAAAGACATGAAACAATAATATAAGGAGGAATCATTGAGGGTAATGAAACAAATGTTTCCAGCTTCCACTCGGTTAACCACCAGGGGTATTATGGCGACCAACACGGAGATGCTCCAAACAAATATGTTAATATAGAGGATATTGTGGATGATGAAATCGGAGCGCCAGACTGAGATCTGAGCGAAGAATGTATTGAGTAAGTGGGAGACCTGGTTTTCGTTTACCTTCGGAGTTTACAACATACCATGTGTAAATGCAGCATTAGTAACGCCGCCCAGAAAGCAATGGCGTACGCGCCCCCGATTGTGAAAAATGCTGTGCATCACGTGCGAGAGAGAATCGATCTTAGAATTTGCTGACGAAGCAGAAGTTGATGATGGTGCATCTGGTGCACGGAAAATTTCACAGTACCTTGTGCTGCACAATTATAGTTGTCATGCGTGTTGGCCCTTAAGACGGGACTTATGCACTATTGAGAAAAGGAGAAAAAGGAAGGAACGAACGAATAAACGAATAGAATAAAACAATCGAGTGCTCCTCCTTCCTGGATCATTCCTGTCCTGACCTTGCTCCCATTTCTACACTCCCCGACTTACTTGACTCTTCCGCTGTTGTATGGTAAAAAATTCCGATGCATTGAACAAACAAACACTTATAGCAAGCGGTAGCAAGATTAATTTGGTGGTCTGATTATTCCTCTGACTGGGCAAAAGCAAAAACAACAACGCCAACATAAGCATCAAGAAGAAACTGATAATTCCGAACACGGCAAAAGTCTTGAACGTGTTGTCTAATGAGCCTTCGGGATAGAAGTTGTTGGTGTAGGGACAGGATAAACAGCATCGATCTATGCAGTACATGTCGGAAGTGATGTCGGATTCGGTGTACCAGATCAATGGTCTCGGACAGTTGAGTTCGGTGATGTTTATCGGGAATGAGGTTGCGGAGAAGGAGGAAAGGGAAAGCAGTCGTTTTTGAACAAAAGCACTGCAGGACATCATCGTGATTATCGTCGGTTAGGAGTGGAATTTGGTTGTTTTCGCAAAGCTTTTTATGCAACCTCTTTGGGGGGGATTTGTTTGTAATCTTGGGGATTCATTCGTGTCAACGTAAATGCGGTATAATGTGCGTCTGCCGTCTCGTTATCCTTCCGCTTGTTGCAAACCGCTACTCATGCACATATAATACAGTGAGGCGTTCTTTTTAATAATGGAGGGAATAGACAGGATGGATGGGTATCTATCGGTCGGTCAGTTTGACAACTGGGAAGGATAATGGAGAACGAAAAGTTGGACGTTGAGAAAATTTGCATGCGTACACCATATATGGAGGTTCAGGGAATGTCATTTTGAGTTAGCGTGAGGTGAAAGTAAAAATGAGTTGCTGATTTTCATTTATACAGAATTAAAGGCACGCGGAGTCGTCTCATTGTGTGCTTACGTAATTAGTGAAAGACACGTGTTGTTTATTAACCTGATTCCGAAAACGGTTCCTTAGGATTCAAAATTAATTATTGCGCAAGCCGTTCATTGGTTATGAATTCCAAAGTTTAAAACCGATGTGACAAATGCGAAGCTAACCATAAACGGTCGGTATCGAAGTCATGCCAAATTTGAAATTGTCGTCCTAAAAATGACCACAAATTACGGAAATTGAAAAGGATGTGCCGGCATTTAACCTGAACGATCGAAAGGTGATTGAGCGATCTTTTTATTCGTTCGTTGGCGAACACGTGCTGGGCGATAGAGTGGCTGATTCTGATTTACCATTATTTCATGCAGGTAAATCGAGGGCGCACGGCATGGGATTGAATGCTTTCTCTATGCGTGCATGCGTGTGTGCGTGTGTGAAGACCAGTACATAATTTGAAGACACCGTCGCATCGGCACATCACAACTTATATGCGCCCCAGATAACTTCCTGCCAATTAGGGTGTTCGTTGTAGGAAAATGACAGTAGCAGTGTTACAAACAAAGTGACATTCCCCATTGCATTGGTATAAATGGTCCCATGGCACTTGCCGAACGGTTCGCACAGTAATGACGCTTTTCCATTCCTCTCCTCTAATTATTAGTTCTCCTTCATTCCTTTGAATAAGATTCCTAAGTTTAGGATTCGCTTACCTTAAAGGCGTTTTCAAATTCCCTTAACATCCTTCCTCACTATCCTTGATTTATCCATCCTTTTTAACGAAACTCCTCACTCTCCTTTTCGGAAATCATCTTCCGCAATGATCCTATATAAAATATTGATTCTTGGAGATGAAAATGCTAATAAGGTAGACGAAATATTTCTATTTTTTTTTTATTTTTATTTTTATTTTTTTTTTTGACGATTAATCTTCGATTGTCTCACTCATCGGCGATGTCGTCATCTTCAGAGTGACCTCACCATTCAGGTTTGAAAGAGATTCTTGTTAATGCAATGTTCTATTTCGCTTAATTTTCATGCGCTGAGAAAAAATCTCTTTGTTGTGCAAAGTTTTTTCTGAACCAATCTGCCGGTAGGCACATCAAAATTTCATTAAAGAATCGGCAAGATTTACAATAGTTCGTTTTAAAAAATTCGTACCTCATCCGCTGACTCACCTTTTCCTTTCATCTATCCTGAATCTCACCGCGGACGCTTTCGATCATCGACAGAGGTCAGTAGTGCGCGCACACACGCAACGTTTGCATAAAGCAGGCATCAGTTCGGTTCCAGTTGTAGTGACCCTTTTTTTTTTTTTTTTGAAAAAAAAAAAAACAAGACCTATGATCCAACGATCGAAGATTCGTATCGAAAACAAGCTGTCGTGGACAATATACCTTGTATCGTAGAAGTCTTTGACTTTTCGGGACAAGGTTCTTTCTTTATTCGTGCATGATTTTATTTGTTGACCGCGATCAGAAGACCTCTTAAAAATTTTTTTAAAATCCACTAGAAGAATATACAACAATGGATCAGTGGATACGGTAAGCAACAGTCGATTATGAATGACATTAAGAACTCGGTCGAACTCATCCGACTCACAAAATTTGCAGAAACGGAGATGGGTTTCTTTTCGTGTACTCGACATCGTCACGGCTCACGTTCGAGAGAATCGAGAAATTTGTTAATCAAGTGGGCAAAGTCGTGGGGATTGGTCAAGCTCCAATGCTGTTAGTTGGAAATAATGTCGAGGAAGAAACCGAACGTGAAGTTTCACGCGAGGAAGGTCTCCAGATGGCAACAAGATTGGGATGCGAGTTCATCGAAGCATCAACAAAGACATGTGCGAACGTAGATAATGCATTTCATATGATGGTTAGAATGATAAGAAACAAAGAGAGTGTGCCGCGAACAACGAAGAGACGACGGGATTCGCGCCTAAAAATTGTTAACAATTACGTGAACAGGATTTTTAGATAGGCGGTTACCCATTTTCGGTTTTGACACATCCTGACGCATTCGCACGAACCAACCGACATAAGCTTTTGTTTATCAATAGTCATGTTCTTTGTTCTTTGAAGATTATTATCTACAATCCCACCCTATGCCCCCATTAATGTCCGATACAGTATCTTTCTAATACCTAATTCAAAATTTACGCACTCATGATCACCTTAATTTCGAACCCCTTTCCCTATAGAACTTACGTAGATTTCAAATTATTATTGGCATTATTTAATATTGTTTTTTTAAGAGGTCACTTATGAATTTAAAAAGTAAAGCATGCACACATCTCAATTAAATTACAGTAAGATCAAACACTTGAGATTTATCTTGATCGATTTCTTTTTCAGCTTCCTTTTTTAAACCACGATCAAGAAATGCTAATTAACCGATGAAGTACGTACGTATTTCCGGAGAATGCGGATAATCGTTTTTTTAATTAAAATGTTAAATTGTACGTATCCATAAGGGAACGAATCAAAATCCGTCGATAAAAACATTTACCCTGAACGCGTAAAAGCCAACACAGTACCAAAACGGTCGACTCACATTGTGCTTTCGACGAATTGAAAATCCCACGGGTCGGTTGAGCTGCGCTGCAGTAATGACCTTCATATCAAACTGATCCGCCGACAGCAAATTCCGAAGCCGTCAAAATAATGGGGAGACAACGCGTTCTCCTTTTGGAAATGATGATGCCGTCTAAGAAAGAAGGAAAATGAAAATGAAACACGCACTGTACTTTAACCTAATATGGATATCAATTGAAAATCATGTGATTGAGGAATTGTTGTTTTCCTAAAGAATTATCAGGAGGATTTCCTGACGTAACTTCTAGCCCTCGAAGCTCCGTCTGACAATATGCAATCTTTTCTCCAAAATTGATCGCCGTCCTCTTTTTCTTTCCAAAATAATTTATTGGTTCCTCTCAACGCTAGAAACTTGACCCCTCCGCGTGGAAACAGGATTCCTGCGAAACTTCATTTCCGTAAGTTTGTGTATGATCGGTGGTTATATGAAACATCACGAGCATGTGTAAATCGTGATACAATTTCAACAATCTTGTGGTATTTAATGTTATATTAAGCCTATACATGTGTTAGTTATTACTATCATCACAGATTGGGTTCTTTTTTTTTTTTTTTCTTTCAAGTGCGTAAGTTCGTACATCTTATATATTTTGACCTTGAACATAAATTTTCCTTTCTTTTTTTTCTTTCTTTCTTTCCTTTCTTTTTTCTTTATTTTTCCCTCCAACATCATCCGATTCGAAGAAATGTCAGCGCATAAAGGTTTGCTTGGAAATTTTCGGTTCTCAATTTCGATTCTTGCACTGATGACTGTCGATTCGCATTCTTAGAAGTTTATATCGTTTCCTACGCAAGAACACCGATTGGAGGATTCAATGGTTCGCTGGCATCTCTTAGCGCCACAAAGCTCGGCTCAATCGCAATTGAAGGTTAGAAATTCGAAAAACGTTGGCATACCAGACCTTTGTTTATGCGAGAAAAATGGTGTTGCTTGGTGGAGACGTGTGTACCCCTGAAGAGATTTAGCGCTCACCTATTCTTTGATCTTAATAATAGCCGCTCTGAAAAAAGCAAATCTTGATCCAAATAAGGTTGACGAGGTATTCTTTGGGAATGTTTTATCGGCCAATCTAGGTAAAGATGATTAGTCCGCTTCTGATCACGGTTGCGAAAGAGCTTCAACTGACAGTAAATAATTCGCCAGGTCAAAATCCTGCCCGTCAAGCAGCCCTGGGTGCGGGACTCCCAGATACCGTGATCTCAACGACCGTCAATAAAGTTTGTGCATCGGCCATGAAAGCCGTTATATTGGGTGCCCAAACGATTATCACCGGTCACGCTGATGTAGATAAGATATATGGTTTTGTCGTTGTTGTTTCACGGCGGCCTCTCTCACTGACCAGCTCACTTCAATCTTTCGGTGCTTAGATTGTGGTCGCCGGCGGCTGCGAATCTATGACCAACACTCCATATTACGCTCCCAAAGCTAGGTTCGGGACTAAATACGGAGATCAAACGCTTGTGGATGGAATAATCAAGGACGGTCTCACCGACGTGTACAATAATTATCTCATGGGCTTTGCTGCCGAGGAATGTGCGACCGAGTTTAATATTAGCCGCGAGGAACAAGTACGGCGGTGCATCACTATTTAAATTTTATTGACATCGTCGTTGCATGAAATGAATCTGTTATTGCTTTCGACACTAGGATGACTTTGCCATCTCTTCGTACCAACGCGCTCAAGCGGCGAATGCCGAAGGATATTACGCTGATGAAATCACGCCCATCACTGTTCCCGGAGGTCGCGGAAAGCCCGAAAAAGTTATCACGCAAGACGACGAAGTCTCCAATGTAAGTGTTTTTGGTGGATTGGGTCCTATCGTTTGTCAATTTTAATCGTCATCAAATTATTTCCATGTAGCTCAACACCGAGAAGCTAAGAACCGTGCGCCCCGTTTTCAAGCCCGAGAACGGAACTGTCACCGCTCCCAACTCATCCCCACTGAGTGATGGTGCCGCGGCCATCATTCTGATGAGTGAAGAAAGGATGCACGAATTGGGAATCAAGCCCATTGCAAAAATCTCGGGATGGGCGGATGCTGCTCAGGTAAGCGATGCACCTTTGAACTCACGCCAATTAACACAAATCTATTGAGTTCAACATATGTGACCTTATTCGCCATTCCCATTCCGTCACAATATCAGACTCCATCTAAATTTACCACCGCTCCATCTCTCGCCATTCCCAAGGCGCTAAAAAATGCCGGAAACATGTCGATTTCTCAGGTCGATTATTTTGAAATCAACGAGGCCTTTGCGGTGGTCGGGATCGCCAACACAAAGTTGCTTGGGCTGCCCAGCGAGAAGGTGAATGTGTTCGGAGGGGCGGTGGCCATGGGGCACCCATTGGGATGTTCAGGAGCAAGAATCATTTGTACACTAATCAATGTGCTGATGAAAAAGAATGGAAAGGTGGGCGTAGCAGGTGTTTGCAATGGAGGTGGTGGAGCCAGTGCAATGGTGATTTCCCTTGTGAAATAAACTTTCACTTGAAAACGAGTGTCATCTTAGGATTTTATAATTTAATGGATATTTCGGATGCGTTACGCTCGCATCATGCCAAATGCTTGGTCGTAATACAACAGCACTTAAAGGGATGAATTTAAAATGATACTTTTAATCAAATAAACAATCTAGCAAGCATTGAACCTTTTTTTTTTTTAAATCGTTCGACGCCTCAGCGTTCTGTTCACAAACGCCACCCGAGACATTACCTTGAATGGATTACAACATCAAAAAATGAATTTGACACCGTATTTTATTTAAACAAAATAATATCAAATGACCTTTGATACCATATTTTATTTAAATAAATGATCTCTTAAATGTTTTACGATGGCTTAATGCATAATTTGGCAGCTTATATGTGCATACATGTGGATTGATGTTACTAACCATAGGAGAAAAAAAAAAAGCAAAAGAGAATGATAATAAAAACAAGCAAAAAACTTAAATGGATAATGAGCATATAGGGTCTTCCTTTCCGGACGGTTTGCTAGTCACCGCAACATATGACGTTTCTCAACGTCTTACCTTTCTTCTTCAACTCTTTATCTTCCCCCCTGGGCCGTTCACTCTCACTCCTGTCCGCCTCAATCATTTTTCCCCTTTCCCGATTTTCCCTGATCATCCTAACCAACGTATAAAAACATATTTCCACATTCAACGTAGTCTTGGTCGAGGTCTCCAAGAACCCACATCCCAATCTCTCGGCCAACCTCACACCTTCTTCACGTGAGACCTCACGTTTGTCTACCTTGTCGAAGTTATCGCCGGCTAACATTATGGGAATTGAGAATGCGGACCTCCGGTGAGCCAAAGGTACCCCGCAACAGGTGCATCGTTTAACCGAGATGATACGATTGTAATGGTGTTCAATTCTGGTGAACGTTTCGCGAGAAGTTGTGCTGTAGACTAGAAGGAAGGCATCCGCATCTCTATACTTGATGAAGGCGATTCAAAAATCGTTAAGCATGAGAAATTATCACCGGCCCTATGGTGTGAGACCTATCTTTTTTTTACCTGATCGATTGGTCCAACAAAGATCGGTGGTCTTCTAATTTCAAAGATCAATTGCATCTCATCAGTCGGTCATCCCCTCTATTCTTTCGACGGTATGCAATGCGATTGGATATTAATGTGAAATCATTACCGTGTCCGTTGGAATCTTTAATTTCCACCGTGTATGATCGGTTGTCAACCACTATTTGTTTTTGATACGTGTCCTCGATGGGCGGCGCATAACACTAAATGACATGTTGTCGTCGTCGAAGGGGGAATGATAAGTAAAGAATTCGAGGGGTCAATGCATGAACACGTAAAACCCATCCCAACATATGTTCGGATTAAAGTGTTTTCGAACGTCGACACGAACCTCTAATCGATCGATAGCATCGGTGAAAGTGAATTCGCGTTTAAATGGTTAGAATTAGGTTGGCGATGGAATGCATTCTCTAGTAGAATTAAATTTACGTACTGATGAGGTAATTTAAGCAGAACTGGTCGAGCGATGAAGACGAGTGGCGACGAACGTGACAACGAAGAGACAACAAACACATGGTTATCAATACGATTGGTGGAGTTCAGACGAAAAAAAAAAAAAACCAAAACAACCAGATTGTCAAAGTACCTTGGTGACGAGCATCGTCTGGTGGGTCATTCCATTACATTGTTATTATTGTTACTAATGTTGTCATTCAAAGGATATGGTGTGCAACAATTGATCATTGAAACATACCTTGCTCTCGGTGGCGTCCCCGAGTGCAACTATCTTAAACGGTTCCATTTCTCGTCAGATCTAGATCTTGAGAAAAAGAGTTAACGACTATAGGATTCTCCAGTAGCCGTTCGATATCAAGAGGGAAAGTCTCAAACTTATATGTTTTTGCTTCGGTTATATTTTAAAGAGTTCACAGAATTTTAGAAACCTCCAAAAGGGATAATTCGAAAACATCAATTGGTTAAGGATGTCTTTCGCATGGATTTTCCTTGCAATTATGCACATACGTAAGTAACCAATGCCTGTTTATACCATTGGCTTTCCGTTTTATAAATTGACTTCGAAAATCCGATCATCACACCCGTTTCAAAATTCCAAACCAAAAGGAGCTTTTTTGAAAAAAGACAGGACTACCCAATTTCACCCAATGGACTTTCACTATATTGTAATATGCGTGAATAGGGTGACCGCGAATCAAAAGTTATCCGAGGATTTCAAAATAATCGGATGCCTTTTAACATTCTAATTCAAAAAGTCGTTAAATTAGTAATAAATTTTGTCTCAGAACTCCAATCAACTTTCTTCTTCATTTTGGACTCGGCAAAATCTGTGTAATTACATAATTGGTGACTATTGTCCATTCGATTTCGATTTATTTATTTTTATTTTACAATAATAATATCATGAGACGAGTGTACATTAGATGGATATGGGTACACATTGGATGAGTGTATTCGTTAGGTGAGTAGTGTGCTATTCTAACATGGTGGTGAAAAAAATGCGTGTGGTTTTGCGTTCTACCCCTCCTTGATTCAAAATTTGGGTTTACATACTGTATTTCCTAATAAGTTGTGCATTGAAACTCTATTCGAATGACGTGTTTTTGCGGTTAGAATAATTACTATTTCATTCCAATGCAACCCTATGGAAATGTGCTCCACGATTCATTCTCTAATAAGTCAGGTCGATTTATTTGTATAACGCGCGCGCATGTCCTTATTAACAAAGTGCTTGGCACTGTCGCATGAGTCAAGATCGTCGGGTTTTTCCGAATTCTGGTTAATTCTTTGAAAAGAACGCTGATACACGGGGCCTTCGAAAAGAAACCTGACGTAATTAAATAAATCGGATGTACACTAATTCCACTAGGTGAATTTACTGTAACTTATATAACTCTACGTCTTGTGCGGTTAATTATTATTTAACACCGAAAAATCAGAAGGGAATACCGTCGTAAATCGTTTTTTTTTTCAACTTATCGTTGATAACCAGCAGCGATTCGAGTTACGATCACCTACCATAGTTTAAATTGAAATCATTGTACGCTTTGATAAAAAAATCGACGATTTTCGATGATCTTCTCAGAATCGTACGTGATAGGTTCCCCTAAGGAAAATGTTTGGCGGAGAAAATCGTTGTATACGATAGCTTATTTTTTGATCTGATGTATGGAGACGGCATACACAAAGGATGGTTACTGAGAGAATGATTGTGTATGCGATAATCTCTTCATTGACGGCACAGCACACAATGATTTTCCAAATTGGCTTAAATTTTTGCCCGTAGAAGGATATGCCGTAAATTGAGAAAAAAAAAACAAAAAAAAAAAAAAACAAAAATGCAATTCCTGTCGATTTTATAGAACTTGCCGTTTTTAGCAAACCGTAAAGGAATAAATTGGTTGAGATTTGGCGATATTTTATTTATGTTTAACTTTGATGCAATCATCTATTTATATTGTCAAAGTTGTGGTAACACCTTTCCTTAAAAAGACGCGATCACCTGCTTAAAGAAATTGGTTTGAACAATTTGATGAATTTATTGAAATATTATTTTTCACTGTATGCCCTTTTCTTTTTTCTTTTTTAAAGCGCCGGCTATTTTTAGATTCTTTTATGATTTAACCAATCACCTTTAACGCATTCGTGTTTAGTTACTGAATATTAATTATTATCTATCTATTTAATGTTCGATGTGATATTGATTATGAATGGATTGAATTGGTAGAGTTCAAAAACTCATTAAAAGTATACCTTTCAGTAAGGTTAATGAATTTTTCTAACGGTAATTGAAAAAAAAAATCTTTAAAAATTGAAAATGAACGAGCTTTGTAAATAGTTAGAGATACAGTATATTGTATGGCAAAACAATTCTTTTTAAAAAAGAAAATCACAAAAAGTAATATTCAATGAATATAAATGTTTTGAATGAATTATTAAATTTAGAACAATTATTTTATGATATTATGACATTCATTAAGTTTAGAATTTATACAGTTGCTTCCAAAAGTTTGAGTTCACTTACTATATTTTTTATTATGAATTTTAACTTTATCAGTTTTTGAATTCTTAATTATATTATGCCTTACTATTAATTTTATTTTTAAATAATTTTGATTGGTTAATATTGTAAATCATATGATAAATTTATTTATAAATAGAAGAAATAAAATAAATATTAAGACATAATATACAGTATATAAGTTTTGTAAATTAATAAGTGAATTCAAATTTTTATATATTTATATTTTTTATACTATATTATTATTATTATTATTATTAATCTTTTATTAAGTTAATTATATATTTCTTATTAATTTTTTTTTTGTAGAACGGAAGCTCAGCCTCATTTATTAACTTGATAAAGTAATTTACAAATTTAATTGCAGAAAATATATATTTTTATCATTCATGTTGACAAACATTCCTAAAATCCTACTTTTAAAGAATCCACCGAACAGCTTGTTGCCTGGAAATATCCAGTCAGATTAAATTTCTACTACTACCTATCTAGAAAATCTAGACACCCCTATTTTTGGATCTTCAATCCTTCCAGATTCCTCCCAACTAACTTTCCAGGCTTGACTTGCTAGTTCCGTGAAAGAAGAAGTATACCTTTTAAGTGGTTCTTGATAGACATGACACTGTTGCCAGTTTTGGTACTTTTCTCAGATTTGTTTGTGTTCAGTTGTATTGATTGTGCCTTTTATAGAAAGAAAAACCCGCTTAGAACCGGAAATGAAAAAACTTGTTTGTATGAAACCGGAATAAAGATGATTGGTGTTTTCATAGACCTGGTTATATTCCATTCCATAAATCTTTCACATGGCCCTCATGTGATATTGAACTATAGACCTTGTAATTGTGACCTGGGAGCACTACCACTATGCTATAGACCCACAGGTCATATTTATTATTAATTATTTAATAGATTATACATATATTTATATATTATTAAAATTGATTTTCTAATTAATTTATTCATTTTTATTAACTTTAAATATAATTTTAAAATAATTTTCTATTTAATTAATAGTTCAAATAAATATTTTTTTAACTACTATTATTATTTTTTATAAAACATTTTATTAAGTTTAAAATTCAATATTTAATTTTATTTGTTATAATCTTTATTCTTTCAATTTTTATATTATATAATTTAATTTTTATTAAGAAGCTTATATAACTATCTATAATATTAAAGATTTTTTTATATAATTATTAACATATTATTATGTTAATATACTTTAAATTAAATCTTGAGAACAGTATTTTACTTTTTTAAAAAATTATTATAAATCTTTATTTACTAGATTTATTGTTAATAATTTGTTACTATAAATTATCTAAAAACTATAAATTACTAAATTAATAAAAAATAAAAAAAGGAAAAAGGAAAAAAATATAATTCAAGCTTTTTTAAAAAAGTTTATCAAATAAACAACTTTCTTTTAAATGAAATTTATTTAGTTAAGATATTCTTCTTGCTTATATCTAAATCTTAAAATTTTCTTTATTATTATCTATAGTATTGGATAAATCAATTTAATTAAATATATTATTTAAGCAAGTATTAAACTAAAATAGCTTTAAAAAAAATCAAAACCTTAGTTTTTAACCAAAAAAAATTTTTTTTATATGAGAAACTTAAAAAAATAAAACTTTACAATTTATATTAAACATCTCTTATCTTTTAATATTTTGAATATCTTTATTAAGAACTTGAAACTTTTAGAAATAAAGAATTTCCAAAACTTTCTTTTTTTTTTTTTTTTTTTTATACCCTCTATCAGGTTAGTTAAGTGTGCTTTATTAAACATTTGTAAGCTGTACATATTAAATGAAGTACTAAAGCTAAATCTCTAACTAACTCACTCGTTTTGGTTATATTACCTCTCTAAATGCAACTTCAGGAGTGATTTATCACTCCGTTAGAGGTTCAGGTGAAGACCCTTCCAACTTCTAACATTATTGCCCGCAGGTCACTACTGCAGATCACTCTTTTGAGCTCTGACAGAGATCAAAACCCAACCACTTCATACCATAC